GTCCCTCTGTGATGTAGAGCTCAGTGTAGATGGTGTTGAGGAGGGTTCTACTTCCTGTTTCATCACTTCCTTCAGTCACACGTTCACATCTCCTCCTCAGACTGATCTTATGTTCATCTAAAACCTCCTGCAGACCAACATCTGCTGAAAGAAAGAAAAACAGAAAGAAAACCTTCAATGTCTGAACAACAAGAAGAAGTCCAGTTTTCAGAAAAAAGTCCATCAGCAGACAGATGTTCAGTCTTACTTTGTACACAGCTGCTCTGACTGGCTGTCTGCAGTCCAGCTCTGGTTCTGGATCTTTTTCCACACTGGGGACAGGACGAGTCTCCTGATGAAGCAGACTGGTTCCAGTATGAGGAGATGCACTGTGTGCAGAACCAGTGTCCACAGCTGGTAGAGACTGGATCCTTCAGGATGTCCTGACACAAAGCACAGCAGGACGGCTGCTCCTCCTCACAAACACCGCTCCTCTTACTTCTCCTCTCACTGTGAACAAATGTTTTCATAATTTGGTGTAAGTGAAAAAGATCTAGATCTGACAAAACATGTAAAATCCTGGACAGTCACTGTGAAGGGTTAGTGTGCAGCTACTTTCCTGTTTTAATTCAAGACTTGAATTAAATTTATGCTTCCTTTAGACCTTTTAAAGACATGCTCTACTTTAAGCTACTGGCATCCAAAAGTATCAAAGTCATATTTTAATGAGCCCCCTTGTCTCTTTTTTTAACATAAAGGATTAAAACAACAGATTTAGTTCAGAATTCATAACATTTCGATATGACTCGAAACATCTCTCCCTCACAAACTAAATCACCTCGAAACCCATCCATCCATCCATCCATCCATCCATCCATCCATCCGTCCATCCATCCAGTTTCTTCTTCTTCCGCTTACCCGGGGCTGGGTCGCAGGGGCAGCAGCCTAAGCCGAGAAGCCTCTCATCCCCTTCCCACATAGCAAAATTGGCATGGCCCGGATCTGGCCCACACAATGTGCTTACATATGGCCCACATACGTAAGAATGACGGGCCACCATTCTTTGCGCTATGTGGGCCATGTCTAAGTTGTGCGCAGCCACGGGCCAGTTGCACACACACTGCTGGCCCTGTGCTGGCCCAGAACAGTTTCAGCTCTGGCCCCAGATGTCAGCCTAATGTGTACCTTAATCAAGCCATGTAATAACAACATGTGCCGGAACATAATAGTGCAAAAGTAACATGAAACTCTGTTCAGACAGTGAATGGACTGAATCTTATATAGCGCTTCTCTACTCTCCCGGATTACTCAAAGTGCTCTATACAACATGCCACATTCACCCAATCAGACACTTTTTCTAAATTGAGTGCTTTCTAACTACATTCATACTCTTGACATGCAGACTGGAGGAGCCAGGGATGGAAACGCTAACCTTCCGATCAGTAGGTGACCTGCTCTACCTCCTGAGCTACAGCCACTGAGTGGTAAACCTGAGTAAACCGTCACTAGGTTTTGGATAAAGTGTACACTCACAAACCTGTCAAACCTCTATTTGAAACATTAGCTACCATAGCAGTATAGTATTGCAACATGGCATTTTGGGTCTTCTAACTCAAATAGGAAAATAGGAACATAAATAGTGCCATCATTGTCAGACCTGGCCCACATCTGGTTGACATACACCATACCATGATATCAGTCAGTCAGAAGTGCCAGCTTGATGACGAATCCGGGCCAGACCTGTTTTCTATGAGCCTGGGCCACATAACCCAAACCACAATCGGGCCAGATGTGGAATGCCATCACATAAACAGTGCCATCTTGCCAGGCCTGGCCCATATCTGGATGACATACCACTTACCATGCCAGAAGTCAGCCAGCAGTGCCAGCTTGATACCAGATCCAGGCCAGACCTGTCTGCTATGTGGGTTTGATAGATGAGTCTATCAAATCTGATCCATAATCCTCTATTCCCCAGACTCTGCTTCCTCCACTGAAATATTCCTTCTACTGCCCGACAATGTTCTCAGTCGAAACTAGCAGTTCTCCACCCGCACTATACACAGTGCGAGTAGAGCACTGCTTTTCCCTCCTGAGTCACCTGAGAGTTTGTCAGAATCTCTTCGAGACAGTCCAAAGGTTATTTCCATGGCCTCTTCAAACTTCTCCTACACCCAACTTTTTGCTTCAGCCACTGCCCGAGCTGCATTCCGCTTGGCCTGTCAGCACCTTTCAGCTGCTTCTGATATCCCATAGGCTAACCAAGCCCGATAGGACTCCTTCTGGTGGCTCCTTTCACCTCTGGTGTCCACCATTTGGTTCGGGGGTTTCTACCATGACAGGTACCAACCACCCTGGTGCCATGTGCACTTATGGACACCCTTATGTTTGAACATGGTGTCCGTTATGGACAAACTGTGGTCCACAGAAGTCCAATAACAAAACTCTGCTCAGGTTCAGATCTGGCAGGCCATTCCTCCTAATTACACCCCTCCAGGTCTCACTATCATTGCCCAGATGAGCGTTGAAGTCTCCCCGTATAAGTCCCCAGATTTAGCACCCTCAAGCACCCTGCCTAGGTACTCCAAGAAGGTTGGGTACTCTGAACTGTCATTTAGCGCATAAGCACAGGTGACAGTCAGCACCCATTCCCTAACCCAAAGTTGCAGAGAACAAACCCTCTCGTCCACCGGGAGAAACCGCAACATGCAGGCAGCAAGCTGAGGGGATACTAGGACACGCATCCCAGCCCGCTGCCTCTCATCAAGGGCACAACTTCAGACTGAGACCAGACCCTCACCAGGAGTTTGGCTCCAGAGCCCAAGCCATGCATTGAGGTGAGCCCCACTATACCTAGTCAATATATTTCAACCTCATGCACTAACTCATGCTCCTTCCCCATCAGAGAGGTGACATTCCATGACCCAAGTCACTAGTTTTGGTAGCCAGGGATTGACACATTGCACTGGATCCCAGTGTACTTCCGACCCAGCCACTCCCTCAGGGAAAAACTGGTTCATCCCAAAGGCAAAACTCCCAAACACAAACTTAAGGATGTAGTATATGCTGTCCAGTGCAGTGTGGAATGCTTATATCTTTATAAATGCATGGCACGACGCAGAAGAGCAGGACAGGTGACCTAAATAAGTAACGTGATAGGGTGAGGCACAGTCTCACAGTGAGACACACTATTGATCATGTGGGTCTTTCATATGATGTTTGTGATAATAACATTCATTTTCTTCTTTTCTTCTTCTTTTTTCTTTTTAAAAAAACAACAACCACAAATTAAGAATCAGGCAGGATAATCTCCCAAGTTAATTCTTCTCTCTCTCAACTAGAAATCATTTGCAGCAAATATCTGAAACACAGAAATACACTCCATATTTCCAGCTTATCATACTCTCTCCAGAATCCACCTTAAGAAAGTTACACTACAGTTTAAAGCAGAAACAGGATCTACTTAATTTACACTGTTGTATATATAATATGGCATCTCTGGGATAAAGAGATTAAAAATAAGTCAGTGGCAGTTCTCTTACTTTGTGTCCAAGGCTCTGGGTTCATTACTGAAGGCCAGTGGATCTGCTTTGGACTGCTTACTGTTACATTGTGAAGAGTCGGCGCCGTCCTTCTCATTTTCCACACAATTATTCATTTTCTACACTTTAGTATGAGAGGTGACTGTGAGCTCAGGGCCTTTGTTTGACCCCAAACTCTGAGCTGAGGGGAAACATCGAGTTTTCAGTTCCAGAAAAGCTGATCAGAGGTTGTTCAGGCCAGTGGTCACCCTGAAATAATGAAAAAAGCAGTGATCAGTGCAATACCATGAAAAAAAGCATCTGTCAGTTTAACTTTTGTGTGTGTCCACTACATAAATGAAACATAAACAAATGGGCAGGGTCTCAGGAGGACGCAAATGTGAGGGTTTTTCTTAAATCACAGGAAGGGAGAAAAGAACCATTTAGATGTTAGAGAGACTGATTTTTTTAATATGAGACACATTCAAACACTAAATTCTGAGACATTTGTCCTACATTTCAAAATGCTGCTCCAAATAATTGAATGACTATATTTCAATATGTGAACAAATAATGACAGAACACAGTGTCATTCAAAGCTATTGCACTCATCTTCATTCAAATATTCACGACATCTCCAGCGTAGGAACACCCATGGTCAATGGTAACTTTATTGTCCCCAGTGGGAAATTGATTTGCGGTATGTCCACTATCGTGTAATGCTCAGAGGACGGTCTGAACATAATACAACAGAGGTTGTCTTCCACAGCACCTGCCTGTTATAAAAGTCCACAAGCTGGACCTTAGACCTCCCTGAAATCTGACCAGCCACTTTAACCAGGTTACTAAGTCTAGTCTTATTGGTCAAAGACAAATTACCATACCAAGTAGTAGAGGAGGGAGACAACAACCCTGTGGTGAACCAGTAGAGAAATTTAAAAAGTCTCAAATCAAACTAACGCGATTAAAATCAAGTTTAAATTGATTAAGAAATTTATCGGCTAAGAGGTGTGGCTGGATAGTATTAAAAGCTGAAGAACAATCAATAAATAAGAGCCGAGCATGAGCTTTGGCCCCATCCAGATGGTGATATAAGAAATTTAATAAAGTAGTCACTGCATCATCAACACCTCTACGAGGCCTGTGTGCAAATTGTAGTTGATTGATAAGCTTTTCTACCTGCTGCAGAATCTCCTTCCTTATAAGTCTTTCAAAGGACTTCATCACTAAAGATGGCAACAGGCCTAAAATAATTTAATGATGTAGGTTTTGTGTTTTTGCAGCTGGAGAAATAATTGAGTTTTTCTGGACCCTTCTGTTGCTGACATGATAAAAGAAAGATGTACGAAAAGATGCCGCATAATTGCTCAGCACACATTTTGTAGCACATATTATCAGGCGCTGGACTTTTATTAGTCATAATTGTTTCAAAAAGATTTCCCACCCTTCTTTCATCAAAGGACAAAGCTTTAATAAAAGCTTTTTTTCTTTCATAAATCTCGAAGACCATGTTTGTTATTAGGGTTAGATCTCTTTTCACACCATTTCTGATTAATATATAAACACACTCCTCCTCCGTGAGATTTCTGGGTAACTCCGGGGTCCCGATCCAAACGTATGGGAAACCCGAAGCCATTTAATTCCAGAGAATTAGGGTCAGAATCCCTGAGCAAAGTCTCTGTGAATACTATTAGACATGTATCCCTGTGGACACGTAAATGCATGACATTCAAATGCAGTTCATCCAGTTTACTCCTCAGAGACTGCACATTAGCCAGGATTATTGATGGCAAAAGGAAAACGACTGTATCGTATTCGCTTTCTCAATCGCTGTGTAGACCTCCCTTCTTACACCACTTCCTTATTTTGACTTTATTAAAATCTAAAGTGCTCCTGTGATTACTGGATAATCCAGGGCTGTTAAACACTGAAGGGTGAAAAGAATCCAGAGACGGGCGATTCCACTGAAGATCCAGAAGAAACTCCCGCGAGTATGTAATGTTTGTGAGTGACAAAGACTTCAAACAACTGTCAGGATTGCCAATAAAAAAACATTCCACAGAGCACAAGCCGATGCTTAAGGATTTCCTCGGGCTCAAAATCAGACAACAACGTAACTAAAAAAAGCAATAAAGTAAAAAAAACAACTGACAACTGGCAGACAGACAACCTGCTGGAGCAGTGCCCCCTTTCAATCTATGACCAATCACGAAATGACAAATAATTCAAAGCTTCATAAAAATTAGTTTGATTATTTTTTATTTATCAAATAACAGTGATTTCTATAATAACGTACGGCAAACTCTTCTAAACCAAATGGATCAACTGAGCTCCTCCACACACATTATCTGATGAACAGGTCATAGAGACCCATGAAGAGCAATTACAATATAAAACTATAACTATAACACCAGTGCTGCAAATAAGCTGAGAGCAACGAGACAGGAAGTAAAAGTAATGCTGCCAAAGATCATTCATCTTGTGAATGCACGATCATCACAGCAGTACTTTGCACAGTGAAGGATCAAAAAATGATTTGATCCTCTGCTGAATTTGTACGTTTGCTCACTAAGAAACGAACAGGTCAGACGTTTATGGGAGTTTTATTTTAATGGGCGAGAGACGAAAATACACAAAAGATTTAAACTGATTTGCATTTCTCTGATTGAAATAAATATTTGGTCCACCAACAAAACATGACCTACTACTTCCCAGAATTTTGGCTTCTGCAGATTGACAGATTACAACTGGCCAATAAATCAATTACAGATACTCCTGATCTCCACTCTCACTGTACATAAAGCAGACCTGTCCACAGATTCAATTTCTTTCCTCTCCACCACCAAGGACAAGACCAAAAAGCCATCAAAGGAGGTCAGGGACAAGGCTGTAGACCTGCACAAGGCTGGGATGGGCTACAAAACCATCAGTAAGACCCTCGGTGAGAAGGGGACAACTGTTGGTGCCATTATTCTGAAATGGAAAAAATATAGTGACCATCAATGGACCTCGGTCCGGAGCTCCGTGCAAGTCGTTGTGTGGTGGAGGAACCACACTACGTTGTAACAGATGGGAGGGAGTTTTTCTGGATGTTTGGTCGATATCATGTCTCTCTCCGTTGAAATGAAACTTCCACACAAATTAGAAACTGTTCATTTCTTTGTAAGTACAAAATCAGCTGCAGATCTAATAATTATTTCTCCCACTATACTGTACTGCTTGTGCTGCTGTTAAACTAACAGCTGAACATTAGAAATAAGTGAAACTTGAAACACATGTTGGTGTGTTCAGGTCTGACACAACATCCAGCATGTCAGTGGCAGAAAAAGGTAACAGACAACAACAAAGAAAATATACATTTCCTTACTTTTCTGTGCCAAGCTTAGATACCTGGAGCTGTCACCACGCCACATTCATGCAGGGTGACTTCTGCTTTGCTTTAGGTGCCGTACTGTCCCGAGCATTTTTCAGGCATAATATCAGAATCAGAATACCTTATTAATCCCTGAATTCATGTGTCAGTCATCCATAATAAACACACTGCATGTCTGTGCACGTTTCTCTATCTAAAGTCAGGTTTGACCGGTTTGCTCTGACACATATTAGCTGTCTCACACAGACATGTAGAGAATCACCTTATTCCTGTCATGCTTCACTAACAGGTGAATGTCTGTTTATTTTCAGAGTTAATGTGCATCTTGTTCCTCTCTGTCGGGATTATGGAAAGGTTTTAAGACTAATTTGAATAGTTTACATGTCTGTAAAATGCAGTTATTGGTCTTCACTGCAGTGTGGGTGAGGGTTGCTTTAGCCGTTTGAAATCAGTCTTTGGTTTTGATGATGTGGCAAACGTATTTATTTTTTCTTCCCCTTATCGTGTGGATTAAAATAGATTAAAAAAAACAGTTTTCCTAAAATGTATATGCAAAATTCTTTTTATGGCAAATGTTTTTCAATGTTTCGAAAAGACTGAGACACACGCTGATGCCTGCAGACTGATCCAGGAGGACATCCGTCAAAGACAGTCTTCTGGATACTCCCCTGGGCTGAAGGATGCTTTGATCGAGGGACTATAGCTGGTGATGGAGCCAGAAGGCAGATTTTTCTTTGGCCGAGTCCCATTTTAATACTTTGCTATGGAGCATTTTAGTAACGTGCACCTCATCTTGTTGTAGTGTTGCATTAGAGATCCAGTAGCATAGTTTTTATCGCTGTGATATATTAAGTTCAAAGAAGTGTGCGTCACATGCTTTCAGTGTTGAGTCGAAATTCATGTTTGTAACTGTCCAACAATAAGAAAACGACTTGGTTAGAGACGTCAAAAGTGCCTCGAACCAAAGACCTCTTTTCCTTCCATCTCCAGCTACACTCGAAAGTAATTTGTGCACCTGTGTGGTTGTTAGAAAGGCTTGTTTTCTACCAGCACCGCCACGTTCTTACTAAATGTCCTCAACTACATCTGTGATCGTTCTCACGTGCGCTCACAGAGAATGGAACAAAAGGCACCAACATCCAAAGAGGAGCAGCAGCAAGGACAGGATCTGCTGTCTGTGCAGCCTTTTTAAATCTAAAGTCACATCAGTTTATCCCACCATGGGAAATAACCCCAGAAGGCCCTTTGAACAACCCGAGGTGCACCTGAAAGCACCGTGAACCGTAAATAACCATATAGGTGCGCAAAAATACTTCCAGGGTAGCCGGCGTGAACTTGGTGATTCGAAAGCGGTAAGTGGGGCTAACCGGAGGCGCTTTCACCAGATTATCAAACCGGAAATAGCCGGCGTGTTTATGGTTTATGCTTTTATAGGAGCCGGTGTACGTGGAGAAGACACGGCCATGTGCTAAGCGGTCCTTACGTGGAAACAAGGTGAACATCGTTCTGTGTGGCGCGACCAGTTTACACCTGAGAGACGAGCCTCCTGGGTGGTTGCTATGGTGATGGAGTCAGATAAACAGACTCCAGCTGTAAACCAGTGTCACCGCCCGCACGATCTGATATCGTCGTGTTGGTGTTGTTCCAGGATCAACACTGCAAGTGACCAATCAGAATGTTGTGACGTAATGCCTTTGTGACTTCGGGAAAAACTGCCGTAAAACAGAAAACTGTACTTAAGCTGCAAGAAACCGCCTCTGTCCGCCGATCACCGGACCCTGAGCCTTTAATAAACGCTGAGCAGAACTGATGTTGTCCTTGCGACACTGCAATTTCATAAATGCACGAATGTCTCGGCGCGCCAAAGAATAACGTCACAACAACGTGATTGATCACTTGCAATGTTGATCCTGCAACAACATTTACTATGTTTATGTTTTACTACGACGATATCAGTTTAGATATCGATTCAGGAGCCGTGTCCCACAAGTCCCGCTCACCCCCCGAGGAAGTGATTAAAACACGCAGAAACTTTTCAACAAGTCAAACACAGTTTCAGGCTCACTCTGATCTGTTTCACCCACCCTTCACCGAGTCACGCAGGTTTAAAAGACGGAGTAAAACACTGTGATAAGAAGCGCAGGAGAAAGCTGAAGTAACACTCACCCTGCTCCAGGCTCGACGTTCCTGCTTCCTGCGCCCTCACACTGCCCCATCAGCGGCTGCTTTCTCCTCCCCCTCCGTTTACAGGAAATCAGCTGGATTTCGGCAGGCGCGTGTGTGAGAGAGATACGGGAACTTTAAAAACTTCTGCACAAGAAACATTTCCCCCCAAGTCTGAAGATATTTTTTAAAGAAATGTAAATCCTGCAAACAAACTTCAACACGGGATTCAAAGCTCCTGTCACGCAGGTTTTTACTGGTTTTACTTCAACCTAAAGCATCAGCGGTGAACCAGCGTGACACATCACAAGCACAGAGTCGCGATGATAATGATCGTACAGACGAACATCAGCAGGCTGTATGTTTAAAGTTACTTTAAAGGTGTGTATGACAATAAATGCGTGGAAAGGATCCACACACAGTGTTTTATCTCACCCATCCTTCGTGTCCAAACCTGACAGGTACATTTCCCCATCTTTACTTTGAGTTTCTATTTCAAGTCATGTCCTGTCTTATTTTGCAATCCTCTGTACTTTCCACATTTTCACTTCCTCTTATCTGTAACTTTGTCTCATTGTCATCACCGTCATGTCGTTCTCGCGTGTCGTGGCAGTGGTCAGCTCATCTGTGAAGGTAAACATGTATCAAATGTGAGCGAGTTGTGATGAGAGAGCTTTTATTACAGTCGAACCTTTCTTAGTTTATAGTCCTCTTCACTTCCTGAGTGACCTGACCCACAGAAACAGGCCAGTTTCACAGCATGAGCTGGTGTGTGCGCCTGGAAGATGTTTAGGCTGATTTCTGGGGCTTTTCCTCGCCCGGGTCGTTTGCCTCACAGACTCTCTGTCAAAGTATGCGCTGGCAGCCTTACATAAACCTTCTGGGTGTCATCCTGGTCTCTTGCGTTTATTCCTGTTTCCTGTCATTGCATCGCCACAGTTGGGTGGCAGGCTGAGGTATGTAGTGTTAGCAGAGGCTAATGAAGCTGCAGAGTACTCTGGACAATCAGCACCTTCAGTGCCCCCTCCCACATTTACATTGCTATACATAGTTTATTGTTCTAAATGTCTCACATGTTCTGTCATATTTCCAACTCTTCTCTCTGTATTTAACAACTTCTGTCTGAAGTCCTCCCACAGTCTGACTCCTGGTTTGTTTTCACACCAAACTTCACCTTTATTAGCTTTTACATCCATATCTTTCTTTTCTTTACGTGACACAGAGATGAAAGAGTCGTCTCTCACTGCAGCTTATTTTTATCTGCCATCATCAACCCCATTCACATCTCTCACACACTCAACAGTAATTATTTACAATATTAACAGAAATGCCACCCAGCTGCCCTGAAGCTACTGGGATAAAACAAAAGCCATCTTCATGCTACAGACCTCTGGTCTTTTGTGTCACACATGCTCTTCCCTGTCAACTTTTGTATGTGTGATACAGGAAGTCAGAGGAAACTGACTGAAGACTTTTAGAGGAAATTTAATGGCTTCATTTATTAGCAGAGAGGAAGGAAACGTGAATCTGTGTGATTCCCAAACTGTGGTGATTTTAATCACATAAGGAACAGATGGTTACTAATACTAATGCAAAGTAAACACATAACAGCCTAAATTTGTACAAAATCATTAGAATAATTTCACAGTAACATTAATTTGATTGATTCAGATGATCAAGACTGAAAAAAATAAACTTGCAGCGTTGATCCAGAATCCTTCAAACCACCAAAGTTTGAAGACCAAGTCTTTCCCTTCCAAAATAAAGCACCTTGAAATTGTTGTTGTTAATCTGAGTACTTGACTATATAAGGATCAGTCCATTTATCATGTAATCTGGGATTATTTAAAAGTAGTTTGAGTAAAACTTAACAATATCATTTCTATCAGTTTAAAACTGATAAACATCATGTTAACGTGCACATTTCCTGTCTGTATGTGTGAGGTACTGCCTCTATCACCGATCTTCTGTCGCCATCTAGTGAGCGAAAGCTAGAATGACTAAACTTTACGGAAACACCTTTAACATTATGAAGCAGTCTGAGATTGTTAACAACTCCATCTGGTTTTCTGCTCAGCATCCATTCAAACAAGTCCAAGTTGGTTCAAGAGAATCACTTTCAGAGTGATTACAAAAACTGGTCATTTCCAGATTTCACTGAGTAACGTGAGACTCATGAGCTTCTTTGGAGGTTTTTTTGGCTTCGTTTGGCACGAGCACTCTGAAAAGGGTTGGGTCCACCTCTTTGAGAACATCGAGCAGATGTCTGCAGGCGTCATTTCCTTTTCGGCTCACGGTGTCGATTATGCATCGCACTTTATTTGCTCTGCTTTTTGTCTCACATGTCCCAGACTCCATCTCTCCAGCAATTATAATTTGACGCTCGAGGAGTTTATCTACAATTTTGTTTAAACCCTCTGCAGACACTCTTTCAATAAACTCTGAGCGGATTAGCAGCAGCTTATCCTCATCTTGTTTTGTTTTGTGGTGTGCGCTGTCCTCTGGTGAGACTCGGTCCTTTTCTGGGACAAACACTAAAAAGAGACTTAAATATGATTTCAGTTGAACGTTTGTAAAATATCCTTGTAGCAGAGATTTATACAGTCATTTCTGCTGCTGCAGTGGAACTTTTACCATCACGACGCCAGGCTTCATTTCCATCTTGGTCCTTGACTATCAGAGTCACAACCTCCAGGTTTGCAGTCAGGAAAACCTCAAATGTTGGATAGTAATTCGGTCCAAGCTTCTTCCAAAACTCTGCGTGCTGAAAACCAACAAGAATCTGCGGTTTTAATAGGGACTGATAGAAAACTGCTTATTTTATATCTGACTTTATTTTCAGGGGCATTTTATTCACGACTGTTGGCTCACGTTCGGCTGTATCTTCAGGCCCTCGGGTTCACAGTGGACACTGTAACGCTGACCGATGTGAAGCACGCAGTCTGAAGACGTCTCAATGTATGTAGCATCATTGCCTTGTTGCTTTTTAACCTCAGTGGTAGGATATAACATGATGTTAATGTTCATATGTTGATCTGTTTCTCTATAGAAATCATTTATAATTATCAAGTGTTGACTAAAGTGTGGAACAAATGATCCAGTGCAGTCAGTAAACCCAGGTTTACTTTGTCAGTAGGGGGAGAGATAACTATGCAATCAACTCTGGATCGTTACTGAAGTCAAGAATAAAGCGCTGTGATTGGTCAGTGAGAGTGAGAAAGCTTGACTCTGTGCTTCTACTAACCAATGAATAAAGCCCAGGGTGTCTGCCCCCTACTACAAGCATCAGAAATCTGCAGAGTGAGACCGCCTGAGTGCTCTATGCTTACCTCTGACAGATGGATTCTTTCATGCAGGAGAAACACGTTGATTTTTAGAGGCACTGTGTCTTTCAATCGCAGGAACAGCAGAACCTGGCCTGCTTCTGGGATTTTGAAAAACCTTTTAACAAAATTCCAGATAAGGCCAAAGGCAGAGAGGTGGGAGACGTTCACAATCACATGCGTGTCGGTGATCCTCATCGGTTTCAAGATGCTTATCCCATCATCAAAGACGTGCGCGACAGACAGCAGGCCATCAACACACAACGCTGTGAAGGCAAAGAGCTGCTGCACTATTTCCTGCTCGGGGATTCATCCTGCACCATTTACTTTTCAACACTTCAGGTAGTTCAAACTAATCACTGTTATCTACAAGTTAGATGCTACCCATTTATTGATGTGTGCAACAACAATCATAATAAAGTGCTTGTTTTGATGCTGAACACAATTCATCTCATCATCGCAGCACGGTGCTCACCCTCCTTTGTTTCACAGTGTGGCAGGTGGAGCTGACGGACTGCGTCCTCAGAGCACGTGATGTTAAACAGCGGCCCTGCAGCTGTTTTTCCAGCTTGTTGAAGGAGGCTCTCATCCCATTGCACATTCCAGTACAGCAGCTCCGCCTCCTGAGCCATAACAAACACCAGTCTGGTCAGAGTACACTGGAACACACCTGGACCAGGACACCTGAACCTGTAGAAGATGAAACGGTTAAACTAGAATCTAAAAGAAAGAAACCAACGAGAACATCTGAAGCTTCTGTTTGAGTCCAAACTGTCACATCCACCAAAGTGAGGGGAAGCTACATCTGTAACGCTGCTGCTTTGGCTCTAAAGCCAAAGCAGGTTATTAATTCTACTTGTGGTTTGGGATATCTCAGGGTTTGAGTCACATGTCACATAATTAGAACACGGTTGTGGTTAGTCACCCCGGAGGCTTCAGCCTCTTTCTGGACTGATAGTAACCTGCCATCGCTGTATTTGAGTTTTATATTATCAGAACACCTCAAATCACACAGAACCCAGATGAACCCTGTCATCTCTAACACAGCCAGGCATCTGTGGAGGCAGCTGTTACTGGAGCTGGAGGGCCAAGTGAAGGTCCTGCCTGAAGTCTGACATCATCTCTGTCTGTCACTGAGGTGAGGGACGTCACCTGTCTGATCAGTTCCTTCATCACTGATAGTGCAAACTAGAGCTGAATAACTGAGATGCAACTGTGCTGCTCCCATCAGAAACTGACGCTCCAGATGATCTTTCAGTGGAAATGATGTCTGAGTGAGATGGACAAAGGAAAACACAGAGGGAGAGAAAAGCAAAGTACACAAATACACACAAGGTCTCATATATTAGACATCGATGGAGAGGAGGAGGTAATTTACTATGTCACACCTCCAGGTGTGCAATACAAATCAGGTCACATGTGTGACATCATTCTAATGTGGAGGTGAAAGCAGTGACAGCTGTGGTTTTAGTATCACCTGTGGGAGATTTGTGTGGATTCAGGTTGTACTTCAGGTGTGAAGCTTGATGGAGGCTGGAAATCAGAACAACACCAGCTGTTTAAAGCAGCAACAAACCAGTAAGTGAAGAAACTACAAACTACACAACGTACACATCAGCAGTTATATGTACGTACTTTCAAAACTGGCAGTAAAATAGTGGGACTAAAAACAATGAAAACATGGAGCCATGCAGGATAAAGCTTAAAGCATCCTGATAACGTACAATTAATCAGTGTTGCAGTGCAGGTACATTCAACATGTGGAGTTAGTTTCTGTCCTGAAGCCTCCTTCTTTGTTCCGACAAAGTTTAGACTACTACTATGAAAAAGTGCCGAGATTAACAGTCATTACATGTGTAAGTGATAAGGATCCGCTTGCTTTTGTCTCACCTTAATTGGCTCTATGTCATCCTCAGATAAATCAGCTAAAGGGTTTATATCCAATGTTTGTTCAGAGTCACCTGATGAGAGACAGACAGCAGAACAGTTCAGGATTCCCTGGAACACTTTTCGTCAGAGCTGACTGCAGACGTCCAAAGTGTACACTCAGAAATATTTTGCTAGAAATCAAAGCTGATTTGTGTCTGAATAATTTAATCCAGATCTGAAAACATCTACCATTTTCAGCTGCACCACAGATAAACTTTTATAGAGCAATGTTTCCCAACCTTTGGGAGCCACAGCACATATTTCACATTAGAAAGAAATCACAAACAAAAATGTCACAAAAAGCATATTGATAGTTTTTCCCTGCACACCAGTTATAGTGGAATCCGCTTGGTTTGTCCCCAGTACACCTTCTTTGCTTCTGACCACTAATCGTGCTAGGGCTTTCATGTGGTCAGACTGCCTACTTTTTCTTTTCAGATATTTATCTATTAATATTACACGCTGCATCGTCTCACAGCATGACTATTATGTCATTTCTTCTTCATCTTCTTTTGTTTTACTGGGAGTTGGCAACCCACACTTCAGACTGTGTGGCCACCCATGGCTCCAACACCATTGTGAAGTTTGCTGACGACACAGTGGTG